TTCTGGAGGGGGCTGGGCCCCAGAAAGATTAGAAGCTTGAAACTTGGAGCTTTCAGCCCATCCCTGTATTCTCTAGAGTTAATAATCCATCATGCCTATGTGATGAAGCCTCCATAGAAATTCTGAACTGTGGAGTTTGGAGAACTTCCAGGATGACAAGCACATTTGTGTGTCAGGAGTGTGGTGTACCCCAACTGCACGCATTCAGGACCCTTCCAGACCTTTCTATGTGTATCTTTTCATCAGCTGTTCATCTGTATCCTTTATTATATCCTTTTTTCCCCCCTTTGAGACACAGTCCTGCTCTGTCACCCAGGCTGGGATGCAGTAGCACAATTACATCTCACTGCAGCTTCGAACTCCTGGGCTGCAGTGATTCTCCTGCCTCAGCCTCCCGAGTAGCTGGGACTACAGGTGCACACCACCATGCCTGGCTATTTTTTTTTTTTTTCCATTTTTCAGTAGTGAGACAGAGTCTTGCTCTTGTTCAGGCTGGTTTCGAACTCCTGACCTCAAGCGATCCTCCCACCTCAGCCTCCCAGAGGGCTACATTGTAGGCATGAGCCATCTCGCCTGCCTGAAGTAGGGGGCAGTCTTGTGGAACTGAGCACTTCACTTGCGGGATCTGATGCTATGTCTAGGTAGATAGTGTAAGAATTGAGTTGAATCAGAGGACACCCATCTGGTGTTTGCTGGAGAATTGCTTGGGAAACAGCCCCACAATCTTGTGTCAGAAACATGTTGAGTGATGTGTGAGAGTAGGAAAAAGACTTTGCTTTTTCTTATCTCCTGTAGTCATAGACATCAAGCAGATGTGACCACTCATGTGTGACAGTCTTAGCCTCAGAGGCTGGACATTGTAGTCAAACTTGAGGACGTGAATGCAGCAACACAAGGCCATGGCTGTGCATGTATACACAACTAGGCCTCACACTTAGGTACTGACAGGGACAGCACTTTTTTTTTTTTTTTTTTTTTTGAGACAGAGTCTCGCTTTCTTGCCTACGCTAGAGTGAGTGCCGTGGCGTCAGCCTAGCTCACAGCAACCTCAAACTCCTGGGCTCAAGCGATCCTGCTGCCTCAGCCTCCCGAGTAGCTGGGACTACAGGCACGAGCCACCATGCCCGGCTGATTTTTATATTATATATATTAGTTGGCCAATTAATTTCTTTCTATTTTTATGGTAGAGACGGGGTCTCGCTCAGGCTGGTTTTGAACTCCTGACCTTGAGCAATCCGCCCGCCTCCGCCTCCCAGAGTGCTAGGATTACAGGCGTGAGCCACCGCGCCCGGCCAGGGACAGCACTTTAAACTAATCCATGGCACCTGGATTGCAGCTTCAAGAATCACAGTGGAGACGTCCACATGTGTATATGAATATGTACAGTTGAGGCGTGGAGACGTGTGCACACACACATGTGTTCACAGATTCGGACCCTAAAGCACACCCCTCACCCCCACCTTCTCATTCTGTGCTGCCTCCTCACGCAAGCTGCTTAGTAAACAGCCTGGAGGACGGCTCCTCCCTCAGAGCACGTTTGTTTATTGTCCAGAGTAAGAAAATAATGTCTCTCTCCAGTAGAGATTTGTTCACTGTCCTTGATGATAAAGATATTTTCACCAGAACTAATTTGTTCACTGTCCAGGACAGTAAATAAATTGTCCCTTCACAATAGTTCTGTTTTGTGATCCAGTATCATAAAGATAATCTCTGTCTCTAGGGCAAAGGTAGGGCAAATGTGCTAGTAGCCGCCATATAAGATTGAGGATTTCTGGGCTCAGATTACCCAGGAATGGCACGAACTACTGTGCGCAGCACCCACTTGGACTGCTCTGGTCATCCCCCGGGCTGTGGGGCCAACATGAATGATGCAAATGCAAAACTCATACTGTTATTGTGAGTAAAACTCCTTTGTCTCTGACCCAGGGCCTGGTGTTTTCGGCCAGTATCTATAAAACTGTGGCAGTGTAACTTATTTGTTTGCAAGTGGGGAAATCTCAGATCGTTCACTGTTGCAGTCAAACAGTTAGACATTGAGGCTGCACCTGGCCAGGTGGAGCTGGAGGTAAGTGTGGGCCCCAGCTGGGTGCAGTGACAATAGAGGGGACAGGAGGACAGGGGAGGGGACAGAGAGAGCCTGTCAGGCAGCTGGCAGCACAAGCCCAAGATGAGGGTTTGGGGAGGGGCTTAATAAAAGTACACCCACCCTGTCCAGGGCAGGGACATTTGGTCACAATTAAATTGTCTGCACCTGGGGATTAATGATGCTCTCTGGAGTCCCCTGAATCCAGAGTGACCTTGACCTAGTGCCCCCACCCTCTGAGCCACAGCCCTTTCCTCTGTCAGATGAGGCCAGTCAGTGCCCACCCCATGGGTGCTGCTCCACCAGTGCCTGCCCATGGCCCCGGTCTTATTTCTGTACACTTCTCTGGGTGCTGTCCCCCTGCAGTGACTGTCACTCGTGCTCTGGTATCTGTTTCTGCCTCTCCTGGCCTGGGTCCCTGAGTGTCTGCCTCTTTTTGTCTTTCTGACTCTGTCGGTCCCTCCCTGTCCCTTCTCCCCAGCCCCGCTGGAGGTGCTGTCTCCAGCGTCTCCCTGTGCCTGAATTTCACCTTCACACTAGTCTCTGGATGTGGACATTTCTCCTTCCCCGCCTCTCTCTTCTTCCCCACTTTTGTCCTCTTAGTGTCTGGCCCCGTGTTTCTCTGTGTGTCTGAATCTCCAGCTTTCCCTGTTTCTTACTTTCTGTGCGGGGGCAGCTCCCTTGCTTCCTTTTTTATTTCTGTCTCTCTTTGCACATGTTCTCTCCGCCTGTCCCGTGTTTACATCTCCCTTTTTCCTGTCTTCTCTCTGAATGAGGGTGACGTCTTCTTCCCTGGTCTCACCATGTGCCCTTCACGCCTCTGCCAGTACAGAGCTTGCTGGGATGGCGCACCTTGCCATGTTTTGCCTTGCACTTGTGCTCCACTGTCACGTAGAGGCTCACTCGCTGCTGTGCTCAGAGGGGATGGCCCGAGAAACAGAGCACCAGGTCTGCAAGAGAGACCTGGAGAGGGGAAACCCAGGATGCTCAGACGCAGACTCTCCAATGGGATTCCAGCTGGGCACCATTCAGCTGGCCCTGCCAGTTGAGCACAAGAGGTGACACTGATGGCGTGGATGGTGTCTGACTGTTGCTGGTACAACACACACACACACACACACACACGCTCTCTCTCAGTTCCCTGTGACATGAGGAGAGAACCTGGGGATAAGACCCAAGAGACCCTGTGTGTGGTCATCCTGTTGGTGCTTGGGGGAAGATGGGGACTCAGGTGAGTCTAGGCATCTCTAGCCCAGGTTCCCCAACTCCTCCTCCCCCTCCCTTTGCCTTTCCCAGGTTAAGGAAAGTTCACCCCACCCTCTCCAGGGCCAGGACTCCACTGTATTCTGGGGCTATATTCTGGAACGTATATTTGACATGCTGGGTCTATGGCTTGGGGTTTGGTATCTGCCCTGAGTCCTGGAGTCTGGCCTTGAAGGGTCCAGAGCCTAGAATCTGTGGTCAGAATTCTGTTATGTCTAGTTGAACAACTTAAAGTCTAGGTTCTGCCTTCTAGAGCTGGAGTTTGTAATCAGAGACCTGGTCTAGCATTTCAACCATATAGTGTAGGCCATCTTTTGGTCCATGTTTCAGCCAAATGGCCAAATGCACCATTAGAGCCCTTTCTACTTCCCCTAGCTGCAATTTAAACCCAAGATTTCTGTTTAGTGGATCCACGACAGTGAACTCAGCGTGATCCAACTTTATGTTCCTTGCAGCATTATTCCATACCCTTAATATGCATTCCCACACATATTTCCTGGATTTCTGTCTGTATAAATGGTAATCTTGGCTCTGCTAGTTTCTAGTAACTTAACATCTCTGTGACTCATGTTCTTCTACTTCAAAGTGGAAATAAGAACAGTTCCTCTACAGATTTCAGGAGTTCCCAAGATGACCCTCACTTCTGACATCGAATGAGATTTCAGTGGGGTCCCCAAGACCACTCTCAGGTTCAATAATTTTCTAGATGGGCTCACATAATTCGCTGAAAGCTGTTATGCTCATGATTAAGGTATATCACAGCAAAAGGATACAGAGAAAATCTAGCAAGGGAAGAGGTGCATTGGGCAAGGACAAGGAGAGCTCCAAGTGTGAAGCTTCTAGTTGTCTTCTCCCAGTAGAGTCATTGGAAGCACTAACTTTTCCCAGGAATCATGTGTGACAATATGCACAGTGTATTGCCAACCAGGGATCTCAACTGAACCTTGATGTCCAGAGATTTTATTGGGGCTTGGTCACATAGACATGATTGACCACCTTCATGATTGATCTTTGGTATCCAGCCCCTCCAGAAGACTAGCTGATATGGTGTGGCCCAAAGTCCCACCATAAACCATATTGTCAGACTATCCAGTGTGGCCCAAACCCCCAGATGAACAAAGGCACTCCAATCAGGCAGGATATTCCAAAGCCTTAGAGATGAACTTTCAGGAGCTGAAGGCCAAGGCCTGACCTCCTTAGGCAAGGTTAATTCTCTACTGCACACTCTCCTTCACAGAGTCATTGTGAGAACCAAATGTCATGTGTGTGAGGTATTAGCACATGCCTGGCCATGGGAAGTGCCCTAAAAGTGTGTGCTAGCGTTGCTAAGTGCTTATAATGTGTCACCCATGAACCTCAGCACTTTCAGACACTTATATAATCCTCACAACATCTCTGTGGGGTAGGCACTACTGGCCTCATTTGACAGAAGAAAAGACTGTGGTTCAGGCTGAGGGGCACTAGGTCAAGGTCACTCTGGATGCAGGGGAATTCAGAGATCATGATCAATTACTACCTGCAGAGAAATTAAATTAATTAAATTAAATTAAATTAAATATGGCCTGACGTCCTGGCCCTGGAGAGGGTGGGGTGGGCTTCATTAACTCCCTTTCTACTCCCCAGACCCTTGCCTTTGGGGCTCCTTCAGATGCCTTCCCTAATACCAGGGTTCTATCATACTCTTTTAATGCCCTCTCCCCTCCCTGACCCCCACCTGCCCACTGCACCCAGCCAGGGACTCTCCTACCTCCATCTCCGGTTAACTAGGTGCAGCCTCAGTGCCTACATGTTTGTCAAGAACGTTGAAGGAGCTGATATTTTACCGACTTGCAAACAAATGCATTAACCTGTCGCAGTTTCATGAATGCTGGCAAAACACATAAGACTCCTGGTGCAGAGACAAAAGACTTTATTACTCACAGCTCAGCAGGCAGCATGAGGTTCATGTTCACATTGGTTCACCTTGCCCCCCAAATCCTATGGGGTGATCAGAGCAGTCCAGACAGATGCTGTGCACACAGGTTTGTGCCACTAGTGAGGAACCTGAGCTTAGGAATCCTCAATCTTATAAGGAGGCTGCTTGAAATCCTGCCCAGCCTCTATCCCTGATGGAGATATCACCTTTATCATCCTGGACTGAAAACAGACCTCCTTGGAGGGACACATTGTATTTATTGTCCCATACAGTAAACAAATCTGTTGCAAGAGAGACATTATCTTTATTATCCAAGACAGTAAGTAAACCTGGATCTGAGGGAGATACCATCTTGAAAGACTGCCTGCTATATAAACATCCTGGAAAGGACAGTCCAGAAAAAAAAAAAAAAGATATTAATGCCTTTGCTCAAAAGACACACAGAAAAATGAGAGAACCATGGAGAATTGTCTCCCAACACTATTCAGTCTGAACTTTCCACCCTTGTCTGTAGGACAGTCTCAACATTCCATCGTTAAACACTTTGTCTACCACATCCTGCTTCTCCAGGTCTAACCGAGGTTCCAGATGTGGTGTCCCCACAGTACCCCACTGCCAAACCCAGAATCCGGGCATACCGGCGGTGCTCAAGATCCTGAGGGGGATAGCTGGGGATCAGAACGTCTGGGTTTGAGTGGGGAGGGGTTCTGAAGGAGGAAGAGGCTAGAGGTCAAGGTTCTGGGTGAGGATGAGTGTGGGTTCTGAACTCTGAGGTTCCTGGGGGCAGAGGGAGGAGACTGGCAAAGTCCTATCTCCTAAGGTACATGTGGGAATGGGCTAAGGGACTTTAGGAATACTGTATCCCGAGCAAGAAAGGGCTGGAACCTGAGAGACTGAGTTCCCCTTGTGTGTGGTTTGTGACTCCTCAGTCCCTAAGGGGCAGGGGCTGAAACCATTGGCTCCAGGCCTTGGGGTGATAGTAATGAGATCTCCCGGTCACACAGGATGGGAGGACCACAAGTTGCCCATTCTTTGATTGGTCCACCTACCCCTCACTCCACTTCAGGATAATCGCCGCATGCCCAGCTCTACTAGCATGTTGAGGAGCACAACCTGCACATGCGCAGATGTCCCACAGGCCTATGGGCTATACACGCGTCAGCAGCAGCCACACCATGAGGGGATTGGCCACTGCCGTGACGTCATGTTGCTGCGACTAGCCCAGCCAGCGCGCCTCTCCAAGTTATGTGCCAGCGGTGGAGTTGCCCACATCTGTGCCCTGGTGGGTGTGGCCTACGCTGCACGGTGCCAGGCTGGGTCTTGGTCTCAGACAGGGAGCCTGGGACCACGGGGAACCACCACTGAAGGGTGTCTGAGATTGGGCAGATGTCGCCATCCATGAAAACTCAAGGGCTTCTGGGTGGCGGAGACAGGGCCCTGAACTATGTGTGGGTTTGTTTCAAGTCCGCTGTCCTCCCCAGTGAGACTCCCAGATACGCTGCATTGTGCCAACATCAGCATTATCTCTTCCCTGTCTTGTAACAAGGCCTACTCAGGGCGCCTGATGAGCACCAGGGCGTGTGCAGGCATGGAGGCTGGAGGCATGAACTGCCGTGAGGTCAGGGGCTAGAGGGCACCACCCAGGGCGTGTTGGAAAGCTGGGATGTGATTGTGTTTGGTCCCCTTTGGCCAGGCAAAGTGCTAGGTGTAGGTTTGAGGTTAGAGTATGAAGACCAATTAGAAGGGAGGATTAGGTTGGGGTTGGGTTAGAGATGGGGATAAGATTGTGCTTGGGCTGGGTTTGGGACTGACAACGTTGGAGTGGTTGGGATGGGATGAGTTTGGATGGAAATAGGTTTGGTTTGATGTTGTATGGGAAATCTGTGGGGATTCAATTGAGGATAAGAGTAGGTTTGGTTTTGGAAGTAGAAGATATGGAGGTAGGAATTGTGTTGTGTTGGATGTATGGATTGGAATGAGCTTGGTTTGATTTTAAATAGGGTAGATGTAAGGATCGGGTTATGTTAGGTTAAGTTGGGTTGGGTTGATGTGTTTGGATGGGGTTGTGTGTGATGTGGTTGGATTGGTTAGGTTTTGGTTGAGGTTTGGATGGGAATGAGGATATGCTTGGAAACACTGGATCCAGGAGGTCCTCAAGCTGAAGCAAACGTCATTTCACAGGATATTTGCAGGGAACCCTTGATCTGTGTGTGTGGGAGGTCAGGCCACTGGCTGAGTATATCCTGTTACCCGTCTTTATGGTCTTAGATTGTGAGTATCTGAGTCCCCTTCTGTCTTTCTTACTATACTTAGAGTTTATCTGGTTTTTCACCTAGGAAAGGGAGAAGATTTTTTCAAGTTCTTGAGACACATCTGGAGCTGGATCCATGTGAGCTGCTTTGGTTTTATGGGACATCTGAAATAAGCAACTTATTGGAATGTGGGGAGTCTAATAGAATTAACAGTGGTGGTGGCAGGGCTCTTGTTTCAGATTCTCTTCTGAGACCCCAAATTATGATATTCAGTGTCACTTAATCTTGAGGTACATAAACCTGGCTCTTGAAAGCTAAATATTTTGTTGAGGGAAGGGTATTGCACTTTGCCTAAGGACACTCCTGACCTGGGAGGGCATGTCAACAGTGGTCATTGCTGCACAGTTAGAGTTCATAGATCTGGAGAACAAGGAGTGGGGATTCTTGGAACTTCACATCATTTGGAGAGCACTGAATTTTGAAATGCTAGGTAACTTGGTCTGGGAGACTTGTTTCTGGATTAGGTTAGTGGGTCTGTGGAACTACAAGGTTATATGATGAGAGGAGCAATAGATTTGGGGAACTTGATTCTGGATGTGGGAGTGCAAGAAACAGAGTTCTGAATCCCAAGGCTTCTATTTCAGGGACATGAAAAGTTGTAGGTCTAACATCTTGGTTCAGAGTGGTATAGGGATCAGAAAGTGTAAAAACACCATGGTACTGGTATTTTAGGGGACCTTGCATCTTGGGGTGCAAAGGACTTACTTTGTGCTTAGGCACATGAGACTTTGTGTTACAAATCAGTGATTTGTCCCAACTCCTGTTCCTGTTCATCCTTCTCTGCCTCTGTCCTCTAGATCAAGTCTCCATGAGCTACTGGTCTTGCTCCATCTGATCTGAGACCCTGGGAATGCACCCAGTGTGATCTAGTTTCTATAGAACAACTAGTGCTAGCTTTTCCTCCTCTTCTGCAGCTCTGGGTGTGGGAGGGGATTGTCCAGCCTCCAGTGGCATGGAGAGGGCTTGGCCAGCATTTGGGTGCCAGCAGGAGAGGGGTGGAGTCCTGGGGAGTGAAGGCTTTATAGGGCTCCTCAGGGAGCTCTAGGCCCAGGCTCACCACCTGCCCCTGGACACCTCTGTCACCATGTGGTTCCTGATTTTCTCCCTCACCCTGTCCCTGGAGAGGACCGGTGAGACAGATGGGGGGTGCAGGAGGGGGTGCGGGCCCTGACTCTCATGCTGAAGACCTTTCCTCCCACCCAGAAACCAGCCCCGTCCCTCCAGCCCACAATCTACCCTAGACCAGGGTGCCAGGCTCTTTCCCCCTCCCCCCATCCCCTCCATGCTGTCACAGTCCTCATTCTCGCATTAGGTCCCTGCTCCTTCCCACTTACCCCAGAACTTCCTCTCCTTGCCCAGCCAACTCCTTACTCACAGCTGTTTTCCCAAAGGGGCAGATCCTGGGCCGTCTCTGTGTCTCTTTGTCGGACTCAAAATCTTCCAAGGACCTCTGTCAATGCCATTGGTTCCTTGGACCCTGATCACTGGTCTGCCCCCTGAGCCCCTAAATCCTACCACATTCTACTGACCCTTCCCATCCAGCTGTGAGCACTCAACCCTGTCCCCTAGACCTTGACATCTGGCCTGCCAATCCTGTTCCTGGAAACCTGATTCCACCCCAACTTCTTCCCAGCCAGGCTATCTGGCTTGAGACAACACATGGCCCCCCTCATCTGGCATTGGGATTCTGAGAACTCTTCCTTCTCCCTTTGCTCCAGACTCTCAATTCAGGGGCCGGCCTTGTCTCCAGGAAGAGCACCAACAATTCCAACCACAATGCCAGCTCTCCCAGAACTGGTTCCCTAAATCTGCATCCCTTGCAACCTCAGAAACCCAACCCAGGCCCAGAATGTTTCCTCAACCTGGCACTCTGTAAACCCTGCAAACCTACCCCTCCCAGCAACTGAACCCCTCCATGGGGCACTACTTCCTGGTTTGTAAAACCCCTTATCCTTCAGGACCCACAGCTTCCACCATAGTTTACTTCTCACAGCCCAAGACCCTGAGTCACCCCGAATAACTTGACCCCAGACTCGATCCCTGCTCCAGACGCTGCCTCGTGTCTTCAAACTTGATCCCTGGGGTCTGTTCTGCACTCAGAGCATAAACTCTCCCCACCCAGCACCAGCCACTAAGCTGCAAACCCAGGGATGGCTCTAGAATTCCAGGCCCTTCCCAACACCCCTTGCCTGTCTCCTTGGACCCCCAACCCCAGTCCCTCTGCTGGCCTAGTCCTCCAGCCCCTCCTGCCAACTTTGAACCCCTCTAACCCAGCACCCCCTCTGCAGGTGCCGCACCCCTCATCCAGTCTCGGGTTGTGGGAGGCTGGGAGTGTGAGAGCCATTCCCAACCCTGGCAGGTGGCTGTGGTCCATCATGGCTTCGCACATTGTGGGGGTGTCCTGGTGGACCCCCAGTGGGTGCTCACAGCCGCCCATTGCATCAGCCGGTGAGTTGGGGCCTGGGGGAGTGTCAGTGTCCCTCAGGAACAACAGCTGGGATTTCCACGGGGATAACTTCAGGCGAGGCTGGGGGACTGAGGGACAGAGGGAAGGTTATGGTCCAGGTGCATGGGGAGGCAGAGGTGGGGCTGTACCACCCTCCCATGGCTACCTGGGTGTCTCTCTGGGTCTCTGTGTGTGTCCTTTTCTGGCTGTGGTTGTGTATAACACTGTGACTGTGTTTTGGTCTCTGTCTCCCTCTCTGTCTCCATGTCTCTCCATCTCCCCTGTTTCTGACCCTCTCTGGGTCACTCTGTGGTCATCTCTGTCACTGCAAGTCTCACCCTCCATCTCTCTGTCCATCTCTCTCCCTGGGTCTCTGTCCCACGCCCTCCGCCATCACTACTGAACACACCCACGATGGGCCTAAGGGGACGTCAGAGAGGGAAGGGCCTTAGCCCCAACCTGTGTGCATGAGGGGGCACCTCTCACTCTGCCCAGCCCTCCTCAGGACATCAGTCCACTCTGGGAAGACACAGGGAAGGGTTGGTTTCAGCTGGAGCTGGATGGGACATCTGAGGGAGAAGGAAGGAAAGGAGGAATGGAGAGGGGGAGGGTGCTGGCAGGGAAAGGGGGACCTGACCTTGGGCGCTGGGCCAGATCCTCTGGGAGCCAGCACAGCCCCAGCTGCAGCTGAGCTGCTCTCAGGCCTCTCCTCCCCTGCCAAGGCCCCCCCTTTTCTCTCTCATACCCCAGACCTCTGGCTTCCTCTCTGCCTCTGGCCCTCACTCTCCCTCTGACTTCCTGCCTCGGATCTCATTTGGCTGTTCCTCACTCCTTCCCTGTCCTGCTCTCTTCTTCCTCTTCCCTGTGTGTTTCTCCATGCCTCTGCCTTGTCTCTTTCTCAGCCTCTTTTTTGCTCCTTCTGTTATTTCTCACTGTTCCCCGTCTGCCTTTCTCATTCCCTCTGTCCTTCTGAGCTCTTTCTTTCCCACTTCATCTCTCTTGGTTTTTGTATTTCCCTTTCCTGGGATCACACTCCTTTGTTTTCTAACTCACTCTCTTTATTTCACCATGACTGTATCTCCCCCACCCCTGTGGGTTTTTTCCTTCATTGTTTCTCTTTCTCTGTTTTGGGACCATCTCCCTGCTCCCTGCCCTGTCTCCCCTCGCCCACTGTCCTCTCTGCTTATCCATCCATCCCCTTCCTCCCAGCGACAGCCAGGTCTGGCTGGGTCGGCACAGCCTGCTTAAGGACAAAGACACCAGCCAGGTGGTCAACGTGAGCCGCAGCTTCCCACACCCGCACTACAATATGGGCCTCCTGGAGCGCCGAGTATTTAGGCCAGAGGACGACAGCAGCCACGACATCATGCTGCTCCACCTGTCAAAGCCTGCCAACATCACAGACACTGTGAGGGTCCTGGACCTGCCCACCCAGGAGCCGGAAGTGGGGAGCACCTGCTACGCCTCAGGCTGGGGCAGCATACAACCAAAGAAGTGTATGCCTGGGCCGGACAGTGCGGCCTGGAGCCCGGTGCCTGGGTCTGAGGGCGGAGGGGCCCAGGAACCAGGTGGCCTCTGACGACAGCCCTGTTTTTCCCTGGCCCGTAGTCTTGCGCCCAGAGACTCTCCAGTGTGTGGACCTCGAGCTCCTGTCCAATGACAAGTGTGAAGAAGCTTACTCTGAAAAGGTGACAGAGTTCATGTTGTGTGCTGGGCACTGGGATGGTGAGAAGGACACCTGTTCGGTGAGCCACCCCTCCCCTTAAGATCTTGAGGGGAAAGGAGGGAGGGGACCCTGATTCTGGGTAGGAGTAAACCCAGCCTCTGCTTCCACTGCTCCTTCTGCACCCGCTACCCCCAGGTCCTCGTCTCCCTCCCTCTGCCCCCTTTCCTTACTCCCTGGATGCACCACCCGATTCTCACAGCATGTCCACCTGTCCCCCCATCCAGCACATGCGCCCTGGGGATCTGCCACTTGCCCCGCGCTGCCCTAGACCCCGGGAAGACAGCAGTGGGCAGACGGAGCAGCCACCCCTCGTGGAGCCCCGTTAGTGAGAGGCACAGGCAGGAACAGGGAACACAACACAGAAACGATCCAGGGTGTCAGGAGGTGGCAGGGCTGTGGGGGCAGGAGGAGAGATGGGGACAGTGTGACTGTGGGGACCTCGTGCAGGAGGTGGGCATGAGCAAACGTCAGAGGCAGGTGAGGGGTGAGCCAGCATCTGGGGAGGAGCAGAGGGAGCACGGGTGCCTGGGCCAGGCCGAGGGCCGGAGGGTGTGAGGAGCAGCAAGAACTCAACCACACAAATGACACCAGTGACAGGGCTGGAGTAGGGGAGGACGGGAGAGGCCTCAGGGAGGAAGCCGGGCCCATCCTGCAGGGCCTCCCTGGGCCGCGTGAGGATGCTGCTTCTCCTTGAGGAGTCGGGAGCTGCGGAGGGTGCTGGGCAGAAGGTGGACGGGGCTGACTCAGGTGTCCACAGGCTGCCACCGGCCTCCGTGTGGGGATCAGACTGCAGGGGGCAAGTCAGGCAGAGGCCAGGGAGGGAGTGAGGATGGGCCTGGCGGGGGTGGCAGCTCCAGGCCTTGTTCCCACCTGGACCCTCACCAGCCTCCCTGACAGGCACCTGGCCCTCAGCCTCTCCCCCTCCACTCCATCCCCCTCCTGGCCCCAGTGGGTCATGCTAATCTCAGAAGTGACCTTGCCCTGGCCCTGCTCACAGCCCTCCATGGCTCCCCAGTGCCCTGGGGAGGGGGGTGTCTGGTCAGAGAAAGCTTCTTGGAGAGGTGGCCTCTGGGATGAGCCCTGGGGTTGGGGTGCTGGCAGATGGTCCTGCTTCTCTTCCCACTGACCTGTGCAAGGACTGTCTGGACCCTGCCCCCTGCACAGGAGCTGGTCCCTGATGTCCCTTTCCTGTTGGCCAGGACTCAAGCCACTGTCCCTTTTGTTGGAATTCCTGCCACTCCTTGCCTCCTCTGGGAGTGGGCTCTGGAGACATTTCTCTCTTTCCCTGTAGCTGGGAAATGTCTAGGTCAGCTGCCCGCCCCGTGTGAGAGTTGGGGCTCCCAAGGAAGAAATGGGCTGAACTTTCTCACTTTTCTGTCTCTTTCTCTTTTACTCTTAGGGTGACTCGGGGGGCCCACTCATTTGTAACGGCATGCTTCAAGGTCTCACATCATGGGGCGGTGAGCCATGTGCTAAGCCCCGGAAGCCTGCCCTGTACACCAAGCTGTGGACTTATCAGAAGTGGATCAAGGACACCATCGCTGCCAATCCCTGAGTGCCTCTCTCCCACCCCCTACCTCTAGTAAAATCGAGTACACATCAAGTTCTGAAATCATCCAGCTTTTCTAAATGCTGGGTACCTGGAAGCTTGGAACTCACCTGGCAGCTTGGAACTCACCTGGCCAAAGCCAGAGCCACCCCAGTTCTCCTAACCTATGTCCTCAAGTGCGGAGTCAGGGTCTGACACAGGTGTAGACTAGTGTTCCTCAAACGGTTGTAATGTTGCCCTCCCCACTCTCTCTCTGGGAACACTGGCAATGTCTGGAGGATTCTTCTTACGCAGGATCTTCAAGGATACACATAAGGACACATAAGGACGTGAGTGGCTGTGTAATTTGTGTGGTGCAGAGGTAGAGGAGGGGTGGAGTTCACCCTGAGAGAGTGGACAGTGACACCTGGTGGACACCTACAGTGGCCACCGAGCAGAAGCTGGAGGTACAACACACCAGACATACACACAGTGAGGATGAAGCTTACAATAGAATCCACCTTGTCCTGCGTCACCGGGAAGCCTAGTGAAGGTTGTGAGCAGAGGAGGCGGGGAGTCCTCCTATCTTGTAGGGAGACAGACTCAGGGAAGAGCCTGGAATCCCTGGAAGCTGATCCATTAAGGGGTGGTATGTTGGGGGTCCCCCAAACCAGCCTCAGATTTGATGATTTCCCAGTAGTACTCACAGAACTCAAAAGAGCTGTTACACTATGGCTTATTGTTGTTTGTCACAGTGACAGGAAACAGAGTAAAATCAGCAAAGGAAACAGGCAGATAGGTTGGAGTGCGGGGAAAACTTAGCTTTTCTCTCCCAGTGGAGTGTTATAGATGCACCTAATTCTCCCAGCAAAGTTGTGTGGCAGCACTTATGAAGTATTTCAGACTAAGGAAGCTCACCTGAGCTTTGGTGTCCAGAGTTTTTATTGGGGGTCTGTACAATGGGCATGGAGTGCTCGAATGGTTCAGTCCCCAGTCTCTCCAAAGGTCAAACTGGTAGGGCATAGCCCAGAGTCCCAGACATACAAAAACAGGCATCCCTCATAAATCACATTCGTAGCATAAATTGTCCGGCATGGCCCAACACCCCCGACATACCAAAGCACTCTTACCAAACATTCTAAGGCAGCGGTGAGGAACCTGCAGCCTTAAGACCACATGTGGTCTTCTAGGTCCTTAAATGCAGCCTTTTGACTGAATCCACATTTTACAGAATATATCCTCTTATTTTTACTAATACATTTTTGGTCATCTTTTATGTTTTTATTTTATTTTTTAAAATGGACATATTTAAAATACCAAAGAATAAAATAAATTTCAATGAAATAATCCTCCCAGGTTGACTGGCACAATTAGAACATTAGTAATTCATAGGGCTAAATTGACAGCTTCTACATTCATGTTTTATTTCTAACTTCCCCCTCCTGAAGGGGGGGAAGTTATGAGGCTGGTTGGTGAGAATTTGTGGGGGTCAAGTAAGCTAGTCTGTTATCAACTTTTGACAGTGGTGCACTGTGTTTCTGTCTGAAGTGCAATTTGTGAATAGTTCCAAAGCTCGACAGTATTTTTAAATTCTGTCTGCTTAACAGCCCATCATGTCAAAAAAGACCAAGAGAATGGTGAAGGAAGAAAACGGACTTTTTAAATGAGGATTGGGAATTGAAATAGTATCTTGTTTCTGCTAAAGATAAGATGATTTGCTTTCTTTGTGATACTGCAGTATCAACATTAAAGAAATTCAATGCTCATCAACATTTTAACACTAATAAGGACGACAAATATTTTAAATTAGAGGGAGAGGCATGAAAGGTTGTAGTGCAGAAGTGAAAAGATGAAAAGCAAAAACAAAGACAATTCTTTCAAGCAGCAGTAAAGCCTAGAAACACCACCACCAAAGCAACTTATAAAGTAGCTTATATACACTGGAAAAAAGGGAAGCCATTCAGTGATGCAGAAATTGTGAAACAATGCATTGTCAAAGCTGTAGGAAGCTTAGACCTTGATAATGTTTCAAAGTATAGGCAACTGCCTCTTTCAAGGAGAACCGTAACCAATCAGCAGTATCAATAGCCTTCAACTTAACAACTTCATGACTTCATGCAATACTTCAAAAGGAAAATGTATACTATTCAATCACTTTGGATGAATCAATTGATAATTATGGACTTAGTACAGGTTTTATACTTCATTTGGGTCATAAAAGAATATTTTCTTTGCTAAGAAGAGTTACCCACTTTGGACACTCTTGTGAACAGAACACAGGGAATAGATATCTTCAACAACTTTCAAGATAAATGTCATAAAGTTGGACTGAATTTGGTAAATTTAGTGAGTGTCTGTACAGACAGTGCACCTTCCATGACAGGAAAACATGAAGTGTTTATTGCATAGATAAAATTATTAACAGATCCAGATGCTCTCATTTCTTTTATTGTATCTTACATCAGCAAAAACTCTGTGCTAAAGCTACTATTTTAAGTGATACTTTATAGCAAGTTATAAGTATTGTTAACTATATTCATGCAAATGCAACACAGCATTGTCAGTTTGAATGATGAAGTGTTCAGTGTGGATTTGCCATATCCTTCTAAAGTGCGTTGGCTATTGCAGGAACAGGTATTAGCCAAAATTTTATCTCTGAGAACAGATCGTTAAATTTTACAAAGAACAGAATCAGCAATGAGAGTCACTGAAAAAAGATTTCTATAGGAATGTAGAATTTCTGTGTGATATCATGTCAAATCAAAATGATGTGAACAGTTCTTTGCAAGGTAAAACTAAATCTATATATGATATGTGGCAAAAAAATCCAAGCATTTCAAAACAAGCTATTTTTACAAAACATTTCTTCTTCAAACGGAAATTTTGGATGAGCATTTTCCCCAGTTAGCAAAGGTCATTGATGAGCAGGATGATATGCACAAATCATTTGAAGACTACACAGCTGTTATAGACCTGTTAATTGGAGAATATAACGATAGGTTCGCTGATTTTGAGAATCATGAGATCACACTCAAATTAGCATTTCAGCCTCGCCTAGTTAATATCACCAAGGGACCTAAAGAACTACGGATGGAATTGATGAGCTCTCAGATGACATTTTAAAATCATCGTTTGATTCTAAGAAACATATAATTGAAATATGGGGAACTGCAGTAGAATATCCAGGCCTTCAGCAACATGCCTGAAAAATGCTTTCTTACTTTTTAACCACTTATTGCCGTGAATCAACATTCTCCTACCTAACCCAAATCAAGATGCCCTTAAGGTCACAAATGACTGACACCCACATAGAGGATCGACTGAACTGTGGACCTCCATGCTGCAACCAAATATTCAAATGCTTTCCAACAAAAAGCAGACACAACAAAGTCATTAAAAGGTTAGTTAACTTTAAAATTAACAAATTGTTTTCATTTTTTGAAATTAAGTACATAGTAGTTAGATTTTTTTACAAAATATTGTACATTTTAAAGTATATTGAATTGAATTTTTTTGTTTTTTGTTTTTTTTTTTGAGACAGAGTCTCGCTTTGTTGCCCAGGCTAGAGTGAGTGCCATGGCGTCAGCCTAGCTCACAGCAACCTCAAACTCCTGGCTCAAGCAATCCTCCTGCCTCAGCCTCCCGAGTAGCTGGGACTACAGGCATTCGCCACCATGCCCGGCTAATTTTTTGTATATATATTAGTTGGCCAATTAATTTCTTTCTATTTTATAGTAGAGACGGGGTCTCGCTCTTGCTCAGGCTGGTTTCGAACTCCTGACCTCGAGCAATCCGCCTGCCTCGGCCTCCCAGAGTGCTAGGATTACAGGCGTGAGCCACCGCGCCCGGCCTGAATTGAATTTTTTTGAATGTGGCCTTATTTGATTATAGCTAAATTAATGCACCCTTCCAATGTGAAAAGTTTCCGTATCTCTGTTCTAAGGATCAGATGTTGCCTCCCAGAAGTTATTCAAGGGTGAATAACGTTGCTGATTCTGTTCTTTGTGAATTTTAACTATCTGTTCTTGCAGAGATACAATTTTAGCTAACGCTCTTTAATTGAAGTGTGGAGGGTTTGGGCACTGCAGGCCTGCTGAGTTAACCTATTACCACGCAGGGGGTGAGGGAACCAGTGGGGATGAGGAAGGCACCTGGGGATTTGGTCTGGTCTTGTGATTGAATGAACCAAGGAGCTATCCCTATGATGGGGAACCCAGAAATAGCAGCAGGCTTGAGGACAGGCACTGAACTCCAAGGGGATACAGTAACTGTTTTATTTGCCTTCTCTTTACACCGTTAGCGAGGGAGGGGTTCCCACTCCAGGGTTATGAGGATGGCTAAACACACACCACACACCACTGGGCACATGAGATCAACAGCAGTTTATTAGTCACAGACACTCACGGCCTGAGGAAGGAGGACACCACACGCCATGCAGGGTGACACGAGATTGCACTCAGCATCAGCACGAACAAGCAGGGGCTACAGGAGGCCAGCTTTGTAGTAACAAAAGGGTGAGGTGAACTCTGATTCCCACAGGAAAGATGCGATTGTCCTGTTTTACTAATTTTGCAGGCTGGCCGGAAGTGAAACCTACTAGGCTGAGGACCTTCTGGAGGGCAGCTGATCCGGCTGATAGAGGCACTAGCCAGGTGGGGGCTTTTCCCCTCAGGTGGGGAGCATATCTGGCAAGAATTAGGGACCTTGGGATTAGGCCTTTGGGGGCACTCCCAGTTACAGATATTAAGGTAGCACAAAATATCGAATCTTATTTTCACACTTTACACAACCTTATTCAAACCAAGGAATGTGAAGGGACATTTGGTGAGCAGAAACAATAAAAAAAAAAAAAAAAAGGATTTCAGATTGAATTAGACATTAACCTAATAAGTATATGGAATGAAATAAGAGGGCATATTAGTAATATTGAATAAGACCAAGACAACATAAAATAAGACCAAAGAGAAATATTAGGTAGGAAAAATATAATAGTTGAAAAAAATTTAAAAAACAATTATAGAAGAGCATTAGGAGGGAACATAACTGAAGAACACAATGGTGACTTTTTAGACCAGATTAAAGGCCCACAAAAGACAAATATTAAAGAAATGCTAAATGATATGGGCATTAGATGTACAGCTGCTTACATTAAAGTATCAGAAGGATAGCAAAATAGGAGAGAAGAAAATGTGTGAAAAAATGTTGGCGATAGGTCTTATGGAATTTAAAACATCTGAAAGACCTCAGATCAAAAGGGATCCATAAAGTGCCATTGGGAAGAAAGAAGGAAAAGGCTAAAAACCAAAAGATAGTTTGAAATATCATTGACAAAGAGCAAATGAAAAAGTTTTGGGTAGAAAGAATGGCAGAAATATTGAAGGGAAAGAATTTGAACCCATATTATTAACTCATCCCAACAGCTTGGCAGTACACATCGATAGTCTCTTTTAGGCAATGCACTGTTCTCATACATTGCTTAAGGGAGTGTCATCACTCTAGAAAACTTTTTAGCAGTATGGTGTTAAAGCTGAATGAATTCATGAGCTATCAGTATCAATCCCAGGTATCAAACCCAATACAAATACCTATTTTCATAAAAATCCTTGTACAAGAAAGTTAAGAGCAGTCCCAAACTGAAAACCACCCAAATGTTTATCTCCAGGGAAATGGAGAAATAGGTAGTGGTGTTGTGTCCATAGCAATAAGGAGAGGGTGTAAGGAACAAGGATTATGATTCATCCAAGACAGAGTCAGGGAAAGAGAACATCAGAAACACAAGACAAAACCAGAGACGGTGGGACAGAGAGGGACATAGAAGCTGAGTTACACAGTGACAAAACTGGGGAGAGGCAAAATAAGATGACTGGAGATACAGAGAGAGACACACAGAAAATAGGAAGAGTGTTCACCTGATGGTTAACACCACAAGCTCTGTTTATTGAGCACCTAACGTGTGCCAAGCACTGTACCACAACTTCACAGACCTTGCTGGATCATGGGCCCTCTCCCTCACCTCCCCAAGCAGGAGCTCAGCCCAGCACTGAAATCA